TGCAGGGTGTCATAGTTAATTCATGCCCTGAACATGCAGAGAGTAAGACTGGTTCCTCTAAAAAAAATCTGGAGAGTTGAATGATTATTTAACTTCATCAAATATGGGTCTATCAGATACTGCGTACCAATTTCTTGAAAATTGTAAATTGAAGGAAACTACAACAGCTGCTTTAGTCAATTTACCCTTGGCCAGCATCATGGAGAAAAAGGCCGGTGCAGTGGATGATGATGCAGGTTTGGGTACTGAACAAAAGGGGAACATTTCTTTGGTGAATGAAGTAGTCATCAATACAGTTATTGAAGTTGAGGAAGAAGTAGTTGAAGGATGAATTGAAGGATCTTCATCTTTACTTTCTATGGAAATGGATGTTGAGCACAAGAAAAATGTCCCTGGTAGTTCTGACAGAAGTTCAGTATTTCATCAGAAGGCACCAGCTGATATTGGACATTCCACCAAAGGAACAGATAAAGAAGCTTTGCCTCTCAGTTCTAAGGGTACAATTTTGGAAAATGTTGACGAAAAGGTTGAGAAGGATGTTGAGACTGATACACGTTGTCATGCCAGTCACAGTGAGAAGCATACACCCGGTGGGGAAAGTAAGGCTGATGCTCTTATTGATGTTTTATTTTATTTTGAAGCACTTATTGTTATACTTTTTTGAGTAATGTTTATTGTCTTTTTGATTTCTTATTTAAATTTGAAATGCTTGTCCTTTTTACTTTTTTTTCTTTGCATTTTGTATCATTCGTCCTTAAGTAAATTGTGTTGGTTTGGTATCAGATGTCACTACCCAGAAAGGTGAGCATCTGCAGGAGATTTTAGAAGGTAATGAGGGCTGTGAACCTGAAGCAACATCTCCTTGTAAGGCATCAGCCACAGTAATGGAAACAGAACCACCTCTAATGCGTAGGGGATCTAAGTTGACTGATGCCGAAGCAGATGAAGCAGAAGAACATGCATCTGCCAATACAGATGCTCGTGCTACAGGTGGTGCAGATACTGATGCGAAATTAGAGTTCGACTTGAATGAAGGTTTTAATGTGCATGAGGGGAAATTCGGGGGAATGAAAAACTTAACAATACCAGGATGTTCAACTCCTGTTCAGTTAATTAGCCCACTTCCTTTCCCTGTTTCTTCTGTATCTGGTGGCCTTCCCACTTCAGTTGCTGCTGCTGCTGCTGCAAAGGGCCTCTTTGTTCCCCCGGATGACAAAGGAGCACTTGGTTGGCAGGAATCAGCTGCCACAAGTGCCTTTCAGCCAGATGAACCCAGAAAGACTTTGGATATTCCTCTTGGTTCAAGTAAAACTTCCAGTCCTGATGCTACTTCTGGGAAAGAAAGTCGTCCTCCATTGGATATAGATTTGAATTTGCCTGATGAGAGAGTCCTTGAGGATCTAGCTTCCCGAAGTTCTACTCAGGGAAAAGACTGCACTAGATCTTACAAATACGCATGATTTAACATGTGGGTTGATAGGTTCTGCTCCTATTCGCTCCTCTGGGGGACTTGATCTTGATTTGAACAAAGTTGATGAGCCTGCCCATATGCCTAATCAAACAATCGGGAATAATCATAGACTTGAAGTCTTTATGCAGCCTGTATCATCATCTTCAACAAGTGGTGTTCTTAATATTGAGGCAAAATTGCACAGAGATTTTGATTTGAACAATGGACCTGACCTTGATGAGGTGAGTGCTGAGCCGTCGCCATTTAGCAAGCATGGCAGAAGCAACAATGTGCCATCTCAACCACCAGTTCCCAGCTTGCGGATAAACAATACTGAGATAGCAAATTTCTCTTCTTGGTTTCCTATGGGGAATACATACTCGGGTTTCACTGTTCCTACAATCTTGACGAATAGGGAACAACCTTTTCCAATTGTTGCAACTGGTGGGCCCCAAAGGGTGTTGGGTCCCACAACTGGTGCCACCCCCTTTCAATATTGATGTATATAGGGGATCTGTATTGTCATCTTCACCAGCAGTGCCCTTCCCAGCAACTCTGTTCCCCTTCGGAACAACATTTCCTCTTCCGTCAACCAGCTTTTCTAGTGGTTCAACAACTTATGTTGATTCATCTCCTTCTGGGAGGCTTTGTTTCCCAACTGTCCATTCACAATTGTTAGGAACTGCTAGTGCAGTTCCTTCCCATTACCCTAGGCCCTATATTGTTAACCTTCCTGATGGTAGCAATAGTAGTGGTGCTGAGAGTGGTAGGAAATGGGGAGGGCAAGGTCTAGACTTAAATTCTGGTCCTGGTGGCTCAAATATTGAAGGAAGAGGTGAGACAGCACCTCTTGTACCTAGGCAACTAACTGTGGCCAGTTCTGGCCCATGCAGAGGAGCAAGCCAGAATGTATCTGGCACCAGGCGGCATTTCGAAAAGAAAGGAACCTGAGGGTGGATGGGATGGATACAAGCAATCTTCATGGCAGTAGGAATTCATAGAACTTCACAATCTGATGATATATGAAAGCTTGCAAGTCATTTATGTTTTCTCTCAGCTCTTTTGGCCAGGCCTTTGTTATTTCTTCCCTTCATTTTTGGACTTCCGAATTTCATATGCCTACTTTTTGTTAGTTGCAAGGGGGAGAGAGAGATTAAAAGAGAATTTGATTTATGGATTCTTTTTGTGACCAAGTTTATCTTCATTTCATTTTCAGTTGTTCAAGGATGGGTATTGCCTAACCCCCTAGAGGTCATTTAACCTATGTGCTTGTAGAGGATGGGTGGTAAGTGTGCCATTTGATGTTATTCAGTCTCCAACCCCCACCTTTTAGCTGTATCAACAATATTGTTAAATGATTTCTCGAGGCTTTTCAATCCTTTTGTTCCTTGAATTTGTTCTTGGTGCAGATCAGGTTCCCTTTGTAGATATTATAACTGTTGGACAATGTTACCCAGAGATTAGAAATTGGTTCCCATACCGGTTTTTAGTGCATATGTTTTATGCTAATCATATTTACTTTTTCAGATCTGATTGTACTTCGTGTGGTACAGTTTTAATCCAATCTAATGAGAAGAAATACGACTAGAATGTGAACATTTTGGTACCGATCTTGCATCGAGTGAAGATCAGTGATGGGCAACGATTGCTCGACCATGACAGTTGGAGTAGCTGGCGATTGTCTGTAGGGACCAAAATGGTTCGTAAACTAAAGTTAGTGCCTAAAATCAATGCAAAAGCTAAAGTTCAAGGGGTTACACAAATTTTTGTTATGAACTCAGCAGATTAAACCAATACTCGTATCGGTTGAAGGATCATGGGGTTCACAAATTTAGGATATGAACCCAGATTAAACATTATGGTCGAGTGTTGTTTCAATCAGAAGCAGATTGTCCTAGAGTTCCATCATTTAGTAAATCTAGGAGTTGATAAAGATAGGACGAGTGTTCAATCGAGTTGAGTTGCTGTGTTCTATTTTATAACTCAAATTTGATTTGAAATTTTTTCGAGTTGAATTAAATTTATAAGATTCAATTTGAGTCAAGTTATTCGAGTTTTTGTTTGAATCTAATTGTAAATATTTATAATACTATGATATTGTTTGATTTTAATTTAAATAGTTCTCTATAACAATATATAATGTGTATAAATTTTTTCTTATTTTTTCATATGTGATATACATATATCATTCAGACTTAAGGAATTTGACTCAAACTTAAAAATCAATCTACTAATTATTAAAAAATTTGAATTACTATTTAGATTATTCAAGTTTTATTTATAATTCGGTTTGAATTTAAAATCTTTTTGAGTCGAGTCTAAAAATTTGGTTTTTGAAGTCTAGTCGAATTTTGTTAACCCCTCAAAAGAATTCATACAAGGATCAACTCTTAGCTTTAGCTGACTGGTAGGTCTAATCTTCAAAACAAATTTTTGGAGATTCTCCTTTTCATTTTCAAGTCAAGAACACACAGATCTGAGTTTTCTAAATGAGAGGCAATTCTATTAAGGACAAGAAGTGGGGAAAAAAAAGATTATTGAATCAATTTTTGCTGATCAGAAGCAGCAATGGTACTTTATCAAACTTGTTACTTGATAACAGTTTAAAAGCATTCATTCTCACTTTGAGGTTAAGGTATCGAGTACACAATTTCAATATCGAAGACGAACAAGAATTTTTCAGAGTTCATGATATTTTTTCCCTCAAATAACGAAATGATCGACCTACCTTCAACAACTTTTATCAATAGAAAGAAAGATATTAGACAACCCTTAAGATATGTGATCAACTTTGACTTGACTCAAGATCCAACCATTGAACTTTTGTGTTTAGGAAACACACATCATTTATAAATTTGAAGGTTTTTATCACAACAGCTTTCAAGATTATATGATGAGAAAATTTGGTTTCCGTAGTTTAAGAAAGTGCTTTTATCTCTACAGACCATGAATTCAAGTAGTTGCATCTCAAAGGTGTGTGTCTTGTCAATAATTAAGAAAGATTTTGAACATATACTATCTTATAATCACCCTATCCTAGACTATTTTAAAAAAACTGCAAGGAACATTTGATGAAACCCGGGAAGAAGCTACATGGTGATTTGGAGGGGCTATTGCATCTCTCAAAATTTTTGATATAATAGTATTATAGATCCTTTTTAATTTAAATATTAATCAAATAAAAATTTTATCCTTTTTAATTTTTAGATTTAAATACTTAATATATTCTTATTTTTAATATAAAATAACTTTACCTCTTAATATTTGATGCTAATTCCGTTCTTGGTAGAAATATATACCCACAGACACGCATTCTCCTATATGCTTTTTATCACAATCATCGCTTGAAATTATCCTTTTTAGTAAAATTAAAGTTGAGTCCATGGTCTAATCAACATTAAAGTCCTCCAAGTATAACATTTCACGTTCATATTAATTAACATTTAATTCTTATTTCATTACGATTCAGTTCTTGTTTCATTTTAACCGGTTGTGATTTCGTTCATTTAGGATATTCTTTCGTATCTAGATCAAGTTTAATAAAACTAAATTCAGTATAAACTAAAATGGTATAGACAATAAATGTTCCACATACAGATACCATATTGAAAATTTTCTTAAAATACCAAAGGTCAAATATGATATTAAACATTACAAAAAGATCAAACAAAAACGATAGCCCATCATGTTCATGAAGATTACAACTGAAATGCATGCAAAGCATTGGTCTTCATCAATCATCTTCATCATCATCAGAACTAGCATAAACTAAGCCTAATAAGGATTTGGCAGGATTTTCCACCTTATCCTGCTTTCCTGCTGTATTTGATTCCGAAACATGATGCTGCTCATTCTTCTCCTGGTTGAACTCCTGCTCCTGGGATCGTAAATTGGATTGATTAGCCTCAGGCTCGGAGTTGGAGGGGCTTGAAAGTTTGGCTCGTTTCAGTTTTACTTCCACGACTTTTTTCAGCAAATCTTGCTGTCTGCATGATATAGAAGACAACTGAAAGTGGTAACTAAAACAATATGATACAACAGTTCCAAAATTGTAACTTATAAATATTTTACAAGTGCACGTGTAGCAGGAAGTGATCTCGCAGGATTATGGGAAGAGAGGAGAGGGAGAGAAAGACCTGATTCCACTCTTTGGCTTCGGCTCAACTCGAAGTGGCAAAGGAAAGGATGCAGGTGCGGAATCTGCCAAACTTGCAGCTTTGTGTCAAATGGTTAGGAAAATGTTAACCAATATAAAACAAATGCCAAATAAAGGGAAGACTTCTGGCCCCTGGGTGCTAACAATAGAGCTCGATGATAGAACTATACAGCATTCATAGAAATGAGAAATTTTATCGGTAATGATAAGCACTTCACTTGAGTAAAATATGCAAAGTCTAAGATGTAAGGAACGCCAAAACAAACAAAATAATTTTTTATTCCTTTTACAATCCTGAGCTCTTTGTCAATAAAAGTTGCAAGGATGAATCTACATATTTCAGCACATAATACTTGAAAAAAAAATCATTCTCATCCTATGTTTATTACCCAAGAGGCATATTAAATTGTAAGAAGCAAACACAGAGCAGGCAACGTGCATCAACAAAAAAGCATGTGGAAGTGAATTCAAGGAATGTTTGTCCAATGTAAAACATAAAAGCTCAAAATGTACACGTCATACAGAGCAAGAATCACAAAAAATATTCAAACTAGCATATCTCAGATATTGCTTAATTAGCTGAACATTTAAGGATATCTTAAATGCTGCAAATGCCCGTTTCTCAGTGCGGCGCAGGAGGCGTTCAGCATCCTCCTCCTTCTGCTCCTTGAGATGTCCAGATGATAATACGTAAAATATAATTACCTAAGGGAAAATCTATCTCAAGACGTGGAACAAATAAAGGAAAGCTACCGCCCCGCCCATGTAGGTAGCCTCCACGTTCTCCAGCAACCTCTTGCATCTGCTTGTATCAAAAGCCCAACGGGAGAAGCAAAGTTCCCTGCCAGGGCATGTTATCAGAAAACTACCACAAGTTTTGTATTTATAGCAAGAAGTTGATGCGAGCCAGATTTAATTGCACAAGTATATTATTACAACTAGGGAAAATATGATACATATAGGCTTATAGCGTCATTCCTTTACTACAAGTCCTAGCACTGTTAAAGATATGATACATTTTACTAACACTTCATTAGATGCATAGTCATATTCAATACTCACCAAAGTTCAGATCACATAAGATATAGTATGGAGTGGTACGACTCTATTAATCAAAATAATATAGAAACAACTTCTAATAACACTCTAGTACCTTAAAATCAGTTTCCTAACTGAACCTTGAACTTTAAGTGATACAACTGACATTAGCAGCAAAAGAAAGTTTTAGATAATTGAAGTGATTGGATGAAATTACCATTAAATAGAGCCACAAAAAAAAAGACCTAGAAAAGTTGTGAATTTTAGGGTGATACTTGTTTCGCATGCTTAAGGAAAATAAAAAATAAAAAACATTTTTTCTCTAACAGTTTGAAGATTTTTATTCACTGGATGAAACTATTGAAAATAGTCTGTTGCTATTTCGAAACACTTTAACCATAATCTGCACCCTAATATTAATAATCCTCTACACCAAAACCCAACAACCTACCATCAGATCAACAAGTACTCAAATTTGTATATAAATCTACTAACGCTACCTGAACAAAGCTTTTTTATCATCAATTAATTTTCATCACCACCAAAACCAAGTTAGGCAAAAAAAATTGAAAAATGAATCACGGCATATAAAAGATCACAAAATCAGTTGCTAACCAAAGAAAGGAAAAAAAAAACGTCCAAACAAATGAGAAATGGAGTAGCAAATATTGAAAATGAAAATATAAAATAGTTGACAGTGGTGGATGCATGCAAAATTGGATTTTTACAAAATGAGATTCACAACCACAAAACACTGCAACAACGGCTGTAATGCTTTATGGAAGATGAATGAAAGATGGTAATGGGGGAGAGCAAAGAGGGAAGTAGAGAACATGGAAAAGAAAGGCAAATCCTAGGCAGAGTAAAGGAGTATGAGAAAAAGGAGAGGGCTGCTGTCGGTAGCTAAAAACGGAGTTTTTGAGGGAAGGCTTCGGATCATGTGTGTGTGTGTCAGGGTGCCATGGGTCTTTGATGACGCCAAGAGACTGAGTAGTTTTCTCTCCTTCCAAAAGCATTTTGCAGATTAAAAAGAAGACATTTTCCCAATCTATTACGTTGTCCAATTAATTCTCTGCCATAACAACGAGAAACTGAGATAAACTAATTCTCGGAAATCATTTTCAGCAAAACAAAATGGAGTCTGATAATCTTTTCATTTGGTTACATGCTCTACAGGATGATGTATAAGAACAAAGAAACGAAACAGTGAATTGATAATGAGATTTTTTCTCAAGTTAATGCTGTAACATATTAAATAGAGAGAACTCCAAAAGCCAATGTGTTCCCATTGACAACAAGGGCGGTTCGATTGAAATGCAGAGTAGGGATGCCACAAAGAGCAAATTTCATTAAAACAAACGATATTCAAAAGAAACAGCAATATGAGAATTGCACAAGTAAATTCCAAAGAATTAAATTCAGGATGGAAAAGAAGGAAAGTACAAAACATGGGAGAGCGACGCTCTAACCTTGGCAACCATACGCTGGAAAGCAATATCTTCATCGTCCAGTTTGTCCTTTCCTTTCCCCCACTTTTTATCTGCAATTAATCAATTTATCAAGTAAAAAATAAGAAGAATATCTCAGTAAGCCTTCCAATTCACGTTTCGATTTCCATACTTGCCTTTGGGGTCGCTCAGATTGGTGTACTCACGAACTTCTCTCCCTGCCATATTTCAAAAACACCAGCAAATCACGAAGAGAAAATGAGGATTTTTGTACCAAAACCTAACTGGGAAATGCCGATCGTTGAGGATTAAATCAAATCCAACGTTACGGCACTAGCGTCGAACATAAACCAAACAACCCTTCTTCCCGGTGCTTTCGGGTGCTGAAGATTCGATTGGGCTTAGACCGATAGGGGCCCTTACAGACTAACACCAAAGTTGGGTCTTCTTCCTCATTGTGGTTTGGATCTAAAACGCAATCTTAGTGGTAAATAGAATTCAACCCGATTTAAAAATTTGATCTTTTAGATTTCTTTTAACTCGAAAAAATTTAACTTGAATTAAATTCGAATTATAATTTTACAAACTCGATTTGATTAAAAAAATATTTAAATTCAATTCGAATTATAAGATATAACTCGAATAACTCAAAATTTTTTATAATTAATTAATAAACTTTTAAATTCGAATCGACTCCCAAAATACTAAACACAAAAGAGTCAAACAAAATAAAGAAGAAATTTTTTTCTTCCATCTCAAAACCAACAACCTCATTCTTCAGGTAAATGACATCTCAATCTCATATTTATAATACTTCTCCGATATATATATGTATGTATATATATATATATAACTGATTTAATTTATTGAATATTTTATAATAATGTGATAAATATTAACGATTATTTTATAATAATTCGATAAAATACAATAATTATTTTATAGTAATTCAATAATTTTATGATAATTTTATAATTTTTAAAAGTTTAGTGATCAAAATAATCATTTGAATATAGCTTAATGATCTCTGGTGCACTTTACCCCTTAAGTTTTTATTAGGCTAACATAGATTGTTCCTTCTACCGCTCTAGTATTATAGCATTCATTATCTTTTAAAACCTAAATATCAAACACAAAAAGAGTCAAATATTTAACATAGATGGTGAATTTTATTTAATTTTAAAAAATATCATAAAATTATTCTTTTAAATTTTTATTATAAATCTATGTATATTTTTATAATTATTACTTAAAAATATTAAAATAAAATTTAATTATAATTGAGATACCAATTGAGATATGTTTTTATTAATTAAATATGTTATATTATCATCCTTGATGACATTTAGCGACAACTAATAATATAATGACTATTTTGCAGTCAATTAAAAACTTTAATAGTTATTTTATAACTTTTAAAAGTTCAATGACTAAAAAATTATTATTTATTTTTTTAATTCATCTTCATTTTGAATGCGAAAGGAATCTTAAAAAAACTGAAGAGAAATCTTGTTCAATATAAATCTTGTATATCACGAGAACACACACACACACACAAAGATAGAGAGAATCTTTTGCATCGAGTGGAATGGCGAAGAAGAAGCAAGGGCTGGGTTGGATCGAATGGCTGAGAGGATGGATGTACGTGATCTATGAGATGCTTTTCCAGAGGATAATTGCGAGTCACCTGCAAAACCCATTAGAACTGCCGCCCTTGACTGACCTCACCTGCGTCGTAACTGGCTCCACCAGCGGCATCGGGAGGGAAATCGCCAGGCAATTGGCTGAAGCGGGGGCGCACGTTGTGATGGCAGTGAGGAATACAAAGGCAGCTCATGAGTTGATTAATCAGTGGTCTGCCTCTTGGCATGGGCTCCCTTTGAACATCGAGGTCATGGAACTTGATCTTCTATCCTTGGATTCAGTAGTAAGTTTTGCTAATGCCTGGAATGCTCGTCTTGGACCATTGCATGTTCTCATTAATAATGCCGGAATTTTTTCAATTGGAGGTTCGTCAGTTTATTTATTTGATTACTTATTTATATAAGCACTTTATTTGGAACCAAAAGATGGAGATTTGTATTTCAACTTGCCATATGCAGAACCCCAGAAGTTTTCAAAGGATGGGTATGAGGTACACATGCAAGTGAATCACCTGGCTCCAGCACTGCTCTCAGTATTGCTTTTGCCTTCCCTAATTAAAGGATCTCCAAGTCGAATCATTAATGTCAATTCTGTTGTAAGTTCCCTTCGGTTGTGTTCTTATTACCTCTTCCGGTGTTGTGTTCGGATTAAAAATTAAGCACTTTTCAAATTCTTATTTGTACTAAAGCATAATTTTTAAAAGTGAATTTCTGATGTCCATTGATAGTTTGCATTACTATTCAAATTCTTACCATAGCTGGACAGGACAAGCTGAAAAAATGAAATAGAGAACATGCCAGAAAAAGACCCATGTTATTTTAAACTTTATCTTTAGTAATGTCATTACTGTTTTGGAAAATGCAGATACTTATTATTTTTCTTTTTTCATGATGTATTTGATTATCCCTTCTGTAGATGCATTACGTTGGCTTCGTTGATACAGAAGACATAAATGCCGTTCATGGGAAAAGAAAATACTCAAGCCTGTTGGGATATACTAGCAGCAAGCTAGCACAGGTATAATCAGAAGTCATCTCAATTCCTTTTAACAGTTGACTGACTTTAAATTTTCATTGAATTATGGTTTTTTTACATCAAATCTTCGGCATCGCCTGTGGACACAATAGGCAGCTTACTTTGTTCACATGATTAAACTTGAGTTACATTGGACAGTTTTAACTGTCAAGATGGCTCCTTTACTTCATTCTTTAACAACTTTTAAGTACTTATTTTACTGCTTTTCCCCTTAACATTAAAATAATCAAAATTGTACATTCCTAAAACTGAAATTGCATAAGAGTAAAGACAGAGGTCTTCAATGATTGCCTTGTCAAACATGTTCTTGTTCCCCACCCTTGGTCCCTGGATCAATAGGTACCCATCCTTCTTTCTGTAAACCTCATTAAGCTCCCCCCAAGTTGAATTTGAGACAACCTAGTTAAATGCTTCAATAACAAATGGCTGGGACATTTTGTTTGAGATAAAATAATTTCAGTTAGGGCTGTAAACGGTCTGATCCAAGCTGAGTTGAGTATCACTTTACTCTTACTCGGCTCAACTAAATTTAGACAGGCTTGAACATAAATTAGCTCAAGCCAAACTGTTTGGACTCACCTTGATTATTAAGCTGTCAACTGAAGCTACATTATAGCTAACTTAAGAACATATTCCACCAATGTCATTTGCTAAAGCTGGCTTCTAACAGATAATATGGTTCCTATGTGTGGATCCATTTAGAGTTCCCTTGGAATAGATGTGAGTGCTTTAGGCCTAAGGGAGGGATTTTATATTGACAACACCACTTGCCCCTTTGTGTTGCCATCTAATATGAGATTCATGGCATAAGGAGTGGATTTCTTTTATAGTTTATGTTTCCAAATATATCTTTTGCCTCCGTGTGTGTTTTGTGTGCATATAAAAAATAACTTTGCAACAATATTTTACAAAATTTACAAAAGAACTTCAGTCTATGTTATGGATACTTTTCAATAACATAAATCTTAAATCATAACTTCATTTGTATCTGAAGATATTGAAGTTAAAATTTAATCAACTTGACAAATGATAAGTTATTGTCAAGCTTTTTAATTTGGGTTGTTCCTGAACATATACAAGTTGAGCTTACCTATGTTACATGTTTATTAAGTGAGCCTAAGAAGGTTGTTTGAACTTATTTGTTAAGCTTTATAAATGAACATAAACAAGCTTAACTGGTCATAATCACGAGCTGTTCCATCAAGGTCCTGGTATGCTTACACTCCTAATAAATACTTTTATTTTCAACTTTAATTCAGGTTAATTTAATTTGGGAGATCACTTTGTATAACAAAGCCAAGGAGAGGCTCTCATTTTGCAAACCCCATTCTTATTCTCTTGGGCTGAATTTGAGACCTAGTTAAAATTTTTAATTGCAAACAATTCGGATGCCCCCTAGGGATTACAGTTACACATTTAAATTTAAATGCAGGGGTCGCTTAGTTTGACAAGTTGGTCTCTCAACTCATTGCAATCGTGAGTTTTTCAGTAGGATACATGCGTTTTCATCCTGTTGTAGTAACTGATCATCGGGAAATAAAATGTTGGATATAACCAAGATGTAAAGTAAAATATATTACATTGACATGGCTCGGGAAACTGGTGCCTTTGCTTGCAGGTTATGTTTAGCAGTGTCCTCCACAAACGGCTACCTGTTGAGGCTGGTGTTAATGTTGTGTGTGTATCACCTGGAATTGCCCACACAAATGTTGTAAGTTTTCTCCATCTTTTATTAGAAGGGTCAATTCTTGAATGTTTGCATATTTCCATTCAAAGATTCTTCTTGTTTTTCTTCTTCAACATAAAGCATAACGATACAAAATTTGTATGCCTGGTGCTGTCACCGTTTCAGAAGATGAGCTAACTATTTTTGCTGCTTCAGAAGAAAGGATTTTGTGACTATTGAGGAAAAACATAGATCTACGAAAATAAAATGATATCCCTTCTGAATGCATGCAAAATATACATATACAAATGTGAAAATAAAATAGCATTAGTATTCCTTTATATTCTTAAAATCTTGTATCAGTATCAGGATTACTTACAAAATTTTGTGAAGTTCCTTGCTGAACATGAAAACCACACTTATTGACCACGCTGAAGACAAAGCTTCCTGAAGAACGCCTAATAACTTTATGCTCATACACGATATTTACTCATTAGAGAAATATTTGAAACAAATGTTTTTTTTACTAGTTTTATCGAAATTTGTATTCAGCTTTAATTCCCTAGCGAGTTATAATGTCTGATGTCTGTTTGGCCTGTTGATGTGTGTTTAATTGTCATGTTTGGCTAAGTTGAAGTTGATAATTTAGTCTGTGGTTTGGAGGGTCAAACTGGTATTTATTGTGTTCGGGTAAATTTAAGGATGCATACAACCGATCCATAGAAAACAAGGAGTTTAGCAACTGCTTTTGGAAATATTGATTGGACAACTTCTTAATGGTCTGCATACCATCATCATTGTTAACATGACCCTTGTCCACTATAATGTTGGACATAAAGTCTTTCAGTTATGTGCATTCAAGTTTCTATTGGGCTTGAAGTATGAATGTGTTATTCCCATGGTTCCCCATGCATTTGCATGCCTTTTTTTTCTAACAGAAGACATTCTTGGAAAAGATATCTGTAAAGTCGAGTTTCTCTTCTTGTAAATAATAAAAGTGAACAATTCATTATTCAAATTATTTTCTCGAACTATGATAACCTATGTTGCTTGGACTTGGGGGTGAGCGTCTGCTATGTGGTGCAGCACGTGAATATGTTCATTTCCCCCCTAATTTTCTCCATATATTTGGAGCATACCCTCATGCACATGTCTGAAATTGTGTTGGATACAAGTGTGATGCATGGGTACTTTAGGGAAAATGAAAAGTCCATACATAGATGGTGACTTATTATTATTTGCTTGCTAAGCTTATCTAAATTATTTGATGCATCTGCTTTCATTTGTTGTAAACAGTATTTTGTGGCTCATCATATCACTCAGCCGTGGGTTCTTACATTCATCCTTATCACATAATTCGTTATGTTTTTATATTTATGTCATTGAAAATATTGAAGTTATTTTGCTGTAAATTCTGTGTTTAAATGCAGGCTCGGGATCTTCCCAGAATTGTTCAAGTTGGTTATAATCTAATACCCTATTTTATCTTCAGTCCTCGGGAGGGTAAGTTTTTTCCAATATTAGTGGTGTTTTTTGATAGTTTTCTATTAAGCATATCTATCATCATTTAAATAATTGTCATGCCAAACTAATGTTTTAGAGTTTTCATTTTTTTCTTGGGTTAGAAATATGATTTTTTTAAAAACCTTTTTGTAATTTACATTCTTTTTTATAAGCCAAATGTATTTTCTATCCATGGTGTCATACCTTGGAAGCATCTTCCAATTACAAAGGACTCCATGAAAGCTTAACCATCTATCAATTTCTTCCATCTTAGTCTCTTGTAAACTAATTATTTATGCTTAAAAGTTTCGATTTTGGTCTTTTGTAAGCATCGATGCACTATAGAATCTTCAGAAACACTATACAGTTTCACAAATCACCATTAGATCCGTTCTAGAGGTCTCTTTCAAGTAGAACAACTACTTCATCTTTCGATGAATGTGGCCATATGCACAAGCCTTCTGATTTAGAAGGCTGAAGAAAACGGAACTGACTTGACCTCTAGACTGAAACTTGAGGCTTGAATGGCAACTTGACACCATCAAGAGTTTGTGATTCCTTGAGTTCAACTTGTTGTCACTTAAACATTTTTCCTGTCTTCAATAACACTGTGAATAAGGTTTCATTTTTGGTTGAAATTTACAGTGTTCTATTTAAAAGTGATTAAGAAATGGATAAAGCGGATAGATTGGAATGCAGTGGTTGATCATTAACATAAAAGCATTAGTATCTATATAATTTTTAATTAGTCATTATTCAACCCTGAAATTAACATTATTTTTAATTGTAAGTTAGTTCTTCGAGTTATTTAAAATTTTGGATTCTCTATTTATTGAAGATTTTTCATGAACATCATTAAAGGATTTTCATTTAAGCTTTGCTGTTTGTTGTAAAGAAAATAGCTTTCTGATAACATATTACTAAAACATAGAAACTTAAATGGAAATAGGGATAAGGGGAATTGGGATATAATTTTTTCCATCATTCAATGTCAATGCAGGTTCTAGGAGTGCTCTCTTCTCAGCAACAGATCCCCAGATTCCAGAGTACTGTGAATTGCTGAAAGCCGATGAGTGGCCTGTTTGTGCATTCATCTCCCAAGATTGTCGTCCTACAAACCCTTCTGAAGAAGCACACAGTGTCGAGACTTCACTAGAAGTGTGGGAGAAGACATTGGAGATGATTGGCCTTCCTTCAGATGCTGTGGAGAAACTCATTGAAGGTAAGGAAGTCAAATGTCGATACGGCACACAAAATGACTAGTTTTCACGGAGAAAAGTACATTTCCTACGGATCTTGAACTCCATTCTGAACGTCCATTTTCTAAATGAGATTACCAAATGATGGCCATTCTATTTGTAATGAAAGGTTAGAGCTTACATCATTTCACTTGGTACTATTTTTGTTGTGATTTTCATGCTTTTCCTCATGAAAGTATGCTCCTGTAACGTGTTTGATTCAGTTCAACCTTGGATGTAACATTTTACTCCAAGTAGTTATATTCTCCTAAATCTTATCAAAAAAAAAAAAAAAAGTTATATTCTCCTAATAGACTAATTTATAAATGCAGACCAGTGAAGAACTCTCTATCTGTTTCTGAAGCTAAATTTGCTCTTGCTATAGTTTAGTTTACATGCCTCATGCTTCAGCCACAACTGTCAAATGTATGCATGCAAGGATGGACCGAAGGATGGACCGAGGAAGAGGCAGGTAGACCTTGAAATTTTAAAATTATCATATATTTTAAATTTTTTCTATATATTTTTTTTATTGAAAATCTGTTTTCGTCCCCTATAATTTTATAAGTTCTTAAAATTTTAGAAGTTTGTCCCCTAACATGACATCATGTGTCATTCCTTGTGTTCATGTTTTGTCTCGATTTTATATTTTTTATACCTATTTTATGTTGATTTATTTATTTGAAGATTGAAGATCAATTTAAAATCTAAAGTATAATTCAAAGACATCTGCCACGATTAATCTCGTGTTTATAATCAATCCCCAATTTAAATATTTAACAAAAGAATCAAGCCAATCAGATAACAAATGAATTGTGATCATTGACTGGATCCATGCTATCACAAGTGGGTGGGTTGAGTTATTATTTAAATTATTCGGGTTAATCCCTATAATTGTAGGATTTAAAAGTATTTGAATGGATTAAAAATTAAAACCCTAAACAAAGTTGGATTTTGCTGTGTAAATTGGGAGAATTATTGAAATTGTTTGCTTATGAGTTTTATTTCTTGGAAACTAATGTTTATAAATTACAGGGAATGTTTCGGTCATTCAGCTATTCTTCACCCAATCTAATGCCCCTTAAGTTTTGGCTCTCAAAACTGTTTCAAAATGTTGCCTAAACTGAACCATACACACTGCTTGAATTAGTTACGACAACTAAAAGAAAGGTTATATGACTGCTGCAAACTTGAATGGATTATCCCAGTCATGAATTCATCATTGAGCTCTGGCTTCGATTTCTTGTTCTCGATATACATGCCACTTTTTGTATCTTTCAAACCCAGGTAAAACAGGTCTGCTCCGCGGCGCAGTCGTGCAACTGTAACAACAGCATCCTCTCAAATCCATCACACAATTTGCAAAACATCTGCATAGTAGAGATAACTACAATTAGCCAATGAAAGTTTGGAAAGTAAGTACGTTCTGCAAAGGAAAACGAAACGGAAAATAAAATGACTTGTATCACATGAAACCACTATGGTCTAAACATTATATTTTCCACACTATTGAGACCTGAGATTTCGCTACCAAATCTCAGTCTGGACCTTCCAAAAGCAAATTTTCTAGAATATGCTGCCACCAGTCCTCTATGCATGATCTTTCAAGAATACCCAATTGACCAAATCAGCATCGTATCCCCATTTAGCAGGCCTTACTCTTTAATCAGAAAATACCCTTAAGAGTTCCAAGCATCATGATGTTGATCAGTTGTATCTTGGACAGTTTGCTTGAGGCATACCCATTGAGTCAGTCAGCATTACGATACTAGGTTACACTTATGCCCTTCCTTTTACTGTACTAATTTTTATTTTTAAAAATTTATCGTTTTCAATGTTGAAATATTAGATGGGTAATTTGATGTGCACGTTTACTTTTGGATATGTATTTTTCAATTCTGGTATAAAGCATTCTAAATTTCAAACATAAAATGTTACATGAAAGAAATAGAAAGAACATAACAGCAGGTCACCTTAAGATTGTAGAATATACATCACAACGAATACCTCCTGTGCAATACATCAAAATATCAGTTTTTTCTTTATCAACTTGTGATAGCAGATCAGAAACAACACCCTGCAATGTCAGAGAAGAGATAATAGCCTGCATTCAGAACCATAGACATAAAAGCCCATAAAAGGAAGAAGTAAAAAGGAAAAGAAAAGAATGATCCATATGCCACTATGGTAGAATGCAGATCTTTGACCCTCTTTGTTCCAGCGAGTTAGTTTCCAGCCACAACAATCAAAATCCAATTCACAATCATTTGAACATATAAAAAACCAACCCACTCTCGAAATGCTATTTGCACCAACCAACCATCAAGTTCACATATGACCATACTAACGGGTTATAATAGTTAGTAATGACCTTGAGAATGATGTTGTCCAAATGATTGTTGTCAGTTGTTATAGTAGAAACCATAGGTAAAGATAAAAGAGGATGAAACCTTAGGGATCTATAAATGTTGAACCTATGATATTTCGATCCCACATTCCCACTTTTGAAGAACGATTCAGATTTGAAAATGTTTAATGGATTTCTTAAATAATCCGATTTAAAAGGATAATTATTTGTAATGATATCTTAACCGGTTTCATAGCATCATCTAACCAATGTTGTCGAATAACCTATATCAGATACAATATGACATATTGAAAATGATGCTTGATTTGTTATGGTGTGTGAAGCTATATGCTGTTTACTGGTTATTTAAAGATACAAATTGGTGGTAAGCTATGAGACATAGCTTGTGAGATTGTTTAATTATTGCGCCCTTATAGCTATTTAAAGGCTCTAAATTGGTGGGAAGTTATGAGATCCAGTTTGGAACGTTGGATATTGTTTTGGTATTGAGCCATTACTAGCTTCTCAAAGATCTTTTAAAATGTGACAAGACTTGAACATTGTATTTGGTTTGTCTGTTTCTCTTGGAAACTTTAAATTGGGATGTATTAGCTCACTAGTGTGGATGTGATATAAAAGAAGATTCAAGTATCCTAAGCTTGTATATATTTGAGTTTTCTCCTTAAACCAATTCATTTGAAACTTTCAAATTTATGCAATGCATTGATACTGTAGAAGGCATTACAAACGTTATGGAAAACCCTACTAACTCCGCAACAAGCTTACCACTTTATACTAAGGAGAATTCTTGCGCATGAAATCCCACCTAGATCCTGGTACGACTTCTTCACCAATTCTGAACTTTCCAATTAAAAACCTCCTTAATCCATCCTTTTATTTATAAGGAGACTTCTAATTTGTTTAAATGTTACATTCATGAATTTTGGATGCAACGCAAAAAACTACTATGTTTTCTAGCAGGGATCTAAACGTGCACCCATGCTTAAATGTCCAAACCAAAATTTGATATCCGCAGAGTAACATCATTACCTCAGTTGGAGATATTCCAAATGAAGTGCTGCGAAAGCAGTCCACATCTGGTCGTTGAGCACCATGAGAATGACCAATATCCCGTTCGAAACCTAAATTCAAGGAATCCTAACATCTTCAAACTTTAATGGGAGAATAATGTGAAAGCAATCTATAAGTTTTCTATAGTGAAGAACACTTCTCTAATAGTTATCCAAAAATACTAAACTTTTCTTTTTTCTTATTGCACTTTAGACACAGAACAATTCAACTTGAGAGATATTTAACTTTCTATTTTCAATTGCTAGTTCAAAGAAGGCAATTTGAAATCAGACATATGATTACTGATCTATGGATCCGAAATAGGCTATGACCAGGCTATATTAGTAATCGCAAATCTAATGTCATCACATCCACCACACCCAATAACTTTAACAAGGTGATCAAAGTTGGTTTCAGGAATGACTCTAGTGCAACCACTTTCGTAAGCTACATCCTGTAAACAAAAGAGTCAAAATCATTCAAATCTCATAATCTATTTTGCATTTAGCAATAAGAAATAATCTTGGAAAAAGCTGACTTTAGAACAATAACCAACAAATATCCTCCAAACTTGTACACTCCAAACACTTACATCAACAATAGAACAATAACCAATAAATATCCTCCAAACTAGTACACTCCTAACATTGACATCAACAACTTGAAATCTTAAAACGAGATTCTGGTGTGGCACATATTAGGATGCAAAGAAATTTCACATTCATTACCTTTACTAATATAATAAAAAAACTCAAAGGTTCAGATGAAACCCTCAAACCAAACTCAAAACCATTTCAAACTCATGTATGATGGTAAAAGTTTATAAATTAGACCCTAAATGTTAATCTAGTCAAACAACACAACTGCAGTTGATAGAAACTGATGCATATCCCCCATCTGAATCAAAAGAATTGTGGGTTCGTTCTACCAATGAGATGCCAACAAAAATCAACTTCCTCTACCTATCCATAACAAGTATTCAATAAGCTCAAGCACAACTGTCAACACAATCCAAAACCAACATGTCAAAGAAAGTCCCCCCTTGAGCATTTTAGTTACACAATTCAGGGCAATTAGACATTGAAATGCAGGAGCTTATATTATTCTATTACTTATTTATTTCAGTTTTATCAAATAAAAGAGATATTTTGGATGGCTAAGATTACAAGTTTCCTTTATGTTATAAATCTAGGGCTAGGATTAAATTATCTTTGCAAACCTAGTATAAATAATCTGTAAAAATATTACAGCCACAACTTATCCTTATTATTTTCTTTGAATTAAAAGAAAACTAGAGGTTTCCCTTAACCCTAAGTTTTTCTTGGGTTCCATCTTCTTTCCTCGTTTGTTCAGCCTTATTTCTTTTGATTACTGTCCCCCCCCCCCTTTTCTTCTTACCCACATCACATTATCTCCTAGATCCGTTATAGTACCTAATTGAACCTAGATCCCTTGTACCTGGAAATTTTTGAAAATCCATGCATGTCCCTTCTATCATCGTTAACTTTTTCCTTTTGTCAAGTGACACAAGCAACTACACTAGCAAGCCTCACTATGCAGCACCATGAATTAAACAAATGTGATAATAGTTTGCACTTAGCACTACTGTAGCAAGACAAGTTTATACTATGTTGTTCAAGATACCATAGCAGGCCTATGTTTAGGGGCTCTTCTATGTTATCAAGTAATTACCTCTTTTATGGATGGTTGGAACAAGAACTATTTAAAGGGGCAGAGTTTCAAAGAGAAAAACTCGATGTTTCGTATTTTCATAAAAAGAATTACTTGAATATATAGGACAAAGGTTTAGGAGCTCAATTTATTAACGTTTGAGATATTTTACAAACTCTAGTAGAGTTTTCTTTCAGCCTTCAAGAAAAACTCTAGTTGTAATATTTTACAACCTGTTGTTCTTTCTATTTCCTGGCATTATAAACCAAAATACCAGCTTTCTACTTTGTGATTGATCTTTATTGCTCTCTCCTTAAATTCTTTCATCAATCCAACCATAAATCTGTTTGAGTTCATTTGCTATCTCTAATCTAACTCCAGGTGAAGCAGCTCTAAAGGGCACCAAGTTTATAGGACATCACAACAATGAAAGCAAATTTTCATTTCCTATGGAACAGTGGAAATAATTGTCTCGTGAAGAGCTTCTTGACAAACACCCCATTTCAACACAACTATAAACTATAGTGAAAATGTTAGAATGATGTATAAATTTGTTTATGTACCGTCATTTTATTCTTTGCAAAGCCCAGAACAATGCGCACTCCATCCTCCCATCGCTCCTTTCCACCTTCCCTTTTATATTCACCCTGGGAATTCGGTTTTGGTTGCCGGACAAAACTATACAGAGATGAGGTAACGCAGGAGAAGCCACGTCTTCTGAAACCAGGCTAATTGATTAGAGGGTACTCTTGTTATTTTCATATAAACTTTATTTTAATTATTAAAAATAGGTTTAACAAAAAAATAAATGCTTAAACTATGCGTCTTATTCACTTTAGGTCTTAACGTTTTTTTATCAAGATAGGCATAATGATAAAATTAACCCCAATACTTCATAAAATAGTCATTTTACCCCCTTTATTTTGGATAAAAAAACCAATATATTCTATTGTTATTTGACTAATAGTCCATGTTTCTAATTGATTAAACATTTCTACATAGATTAAAATATTAGTATGATATGTTTACGTATGATGTCACATCAACAAAAAAAATTGTTTTTAAATTAATAAATAACAATTAATTAGATGATCTGATTGGTTTAAAACAAATGTATTAAGAACAAACCACAAATAGCTGCAGTGAAAATCATACCTAGAAATGTAATTATAATTAAGGGTAAATTTCATGTTTAGTATCTAAATTATTACTTTTATTTCATTTTGATATTTAAACTTTGTTTTTTTTCAAAATCATATATATCGTTCTGTTTAGATTTCATTTTAGTAACCATCGTTAAAAACTCAACGATAATATTAATGTGTCACCATAAGATAATACTACACCATTAAATTTTTTTTTTTAAAAATGTTACACGAACAATTTTGTGTTAGTTTTTAACGGTAGATTAATATTCGAATCCAAACCAATATATATATATATATATATTTAACAAGTGTGTGAAAATGGAAGGCATTTGGTGGGGCTGCATTTTTTTAATTAATATGTAGTAAGTATAAGGTAGTATATGTCTACATTGGAATTGGTGACTAACCAACATATCTTTTTATCTAAAATTACATCTCTCCCGCTTTGTTATTTTAATAAAAATTAGGGAAAAGTATACAAATGATTCTTCAATTATAAGATGTTACTTTATTAAGTTCTTTGACTATTAAATGTTACAAAATGATTTATCGACTATAGGGTGTTGTATTATTGAATCATTCAACTATTAAAAATTATAAAATGATTATTCAATTAATCATATATTCCAAACTTCGTTCAAATTGAACTCGAAAATTCTCTATCATTTGTAAGGAGGAAAAATTCTCTATCATTTGTAAGGAGGAGAATTGTTCCATTGCCGAAGATAAAGAAGCAGGAGAGAGTGGCCAATGTGTTGGATGTTGATCTTGGTAATAAATTATTACAATGATGGATGCCAGCGATATGGAAATGGCGTGGTCGAGCAGCCGCGTGCCCTGTCGGTTCACGCGCCCCACATTTCCTTCTCAATCACACCTGCTTGATCATTGTTTAATAAAGGGTAAAGTACACAACTAATTTTTTAACTATATTCAAATAATCTTTTTAAGCATTAAACTTTTACAAAATTAAAATTAGTCATTACATTTTACAATTTATTATAAAATAATCATTAAAATTTATCAAATTATTGTAAAATAGTCATTACATGTCTGGAACTATTTTAAAATAATCCTTAAATTTATTGAAATCAATCATTATTTATAATATATAATGATCATTTTAAAATAGTTTCTTAAATTTAATGATTATTTTGTAATTTTTAAAACTTTAATGACCCAAAGAAATTATTTTAATATAGTTTAATAACTATTTGTGTACTTTATCCTTTAATAAAATACTTATGTTATTTGAATGTGTTATTTATTTAAAAGTTTCTAAATTGTGTACTTTATCCTTCAATTATTTCATAATTAACTTAATTTTTATAATAATTTAATTTTAACTCATTTATTTATTTAAAAAAAATCATTACAATTTTCTATAAAAATATAAACCATGTTTAAATTTCTTTAAAAAAAATCTTGAACCAAATAAGAGAGTTGTTCAAATTTTTATATTGCATTCCTCCAATTAACCACCAGTTAAAAACTTTGCTTGCATAATATTTGATACAATATATATATATATATATATATATATATATATATTTTGTAAAAATAATTTGAGGACCACATTAATTTTTCATTAGTATATTTGTCATCTAACACGAAAGAATAAATAACAATCGTATTGCTTAAAATTATTGAACCATATAGAACATAAAATTTCTAAGTTTTTCATAGCTTCACCTTCATTGCATCATTTGTATCGATTTGAATCCAAAGAATCTAGCGAAATAATTTTTTTCTCAAACCTAGAACATGACTCGCATTACCAAATATTTGAGCAATCTTATCAAACATTTTAATTTTTTTATTAATCTAGAGCAATTACAAGGTAGTATTTGTTCAAAGAGAACTCTCAATCTCTCGACTTTGAACGCTCACACCTCTAACATTTATGGTGCTCAAACCTGGGTCCTGAAGGAATAACAACGATTCATTTACCACGGAGACCACTTGGTTCGAGCAACATCTTAAACTTCATTGTGCCAAAATCTACAACTTTACAAGATGTATTGTTCTCCTAAAACATATCACATGCAAACATAATTTTATACATCACAAATCAACCCCGATTTCTTGAGTGTAACCCTTGTGATATGTACCATCTTTTATTTTTTTTTATAACTTGTAGCACTCATCTTTAGTGTAACGCTTTTTCTTTTTTATGTTAGATTTCTATTTAATTTTAATGTCATGTAACTGTCGACACTATTTGCTTGAGTCCTCCCACGAATAAGGAAATCTTCACTCTAAGAGTCAGATTTAATCATATGATTCTTTATCTGTTCACACGACACGAGTACATAAAATCATGTACATTATCAATAGTAAGAATCATGACTACACAAGATAGTATCTCTAAAATCAAAATAAGAAGGGGCAACAATTAACCTAGATCATATTTAATTTTTGGGTAAACTACACGGGAGACCAC